AGAGTCATCGATCGACAAGCGCACGCTGTACATGTATAATCGACCAGCACTCAATACACCTGCTGCAGCACCGTTAAAGCGATGGTTATTATTTGTTTTCGGGCAGGTAAAATTACTGAAATTGCGCATAATAGCAAACGATAACCGGTGATAATAACAATTATTAACATAATATATAGGACCCGGAAGTGTCGTAGTCAAGGTGGGTGGGGGACTTATATATAGTGGCTAGGTTTGAGCTCACCTCCGTCCGCACAATTTTAGATGGATTTTTTTTATAGTCCGATTAGATAATTTAGAAAGAATGATATTATTATCTGAGGTTACTTTGTGTCTTGCGGTTAATATTTTGAAGGTGCATCGGTTTACTAGGTAACCTTTCTGCAAAAACAAAATTCTCCTGAAGAACCGTGCCATACATTTTTTTAAATTGAATTCTTGGCTGGATAATCAGCGTGGTAACATTATACAGTTCAATAAAGGTGTTTAATATTTGTATTACATTCATATCACACATCGGAGCTGCAGACGGTGCATTACAATATGTGCAATTATAAAATATCAGGTAGGTATTAGCTGATATTATGTAATTGCAGAATGTGAGTACAATGCTCAGTGCACTCATAATGTGTTATGACGTACCTACACACGATCAATCAAGATGTTGTTAAACTGCATATCTCGAGTATCTACGTCTATCATACCCACACACCCACCAAAAAATGTCAAGTTTAAAATATCATCACAAACGTAATAATTATTTAGTAAATTACGTTTTAAATTATGATTTGCGGTGATTTCTGAGAGGGATCCTACTGTTAATTTTTTAACATGCAGTATTTGATTATTAAAAATATAATTTTTGATTATCAGATCTTAAACATTGAAAAAAAGTCATGGGAGATTTTTCCCCCTCATCATTCCCCCCGCTTCGACCGCCACTGAGGTCTGTCCAAAATAATTCAGGGACACGACCGCAGTTTTCACCACTGAACTCGGTATCTACACTCGTGGTCAGCACATACCGCACATAACCTCTACGCTCTACCTTTACACTTCACGACCACGTGCGTTCGACAGGTTGACACTGCATAATATCGTCGAGCGAACCGTTAAATACACGGTTAATAGACCTATTATCACCTATAATACGCCTGTAATATTACAAACAATCATCGCTTATACCTATATTAGTTTATTACTGATTACTTTTTCGGTCGTGTTCGCCGTACAGGCGGCGGCGGGACGCGCTCGTGAGAATGAGGAAAACGCAGAACGAGAAGCCGTTGGCGCGATGGTGGCATAAGCGGGGGGGGGGGAGAGCGAAAAAAAATTGCTGGACACGAAATACGTCGAAAAGGTCGCCGAACCGGCGGTGGATGGCCGCTCGTGGACGCACACGAGGCAGTGTTGTAGGTATATAATATTAGGTATATAATATACCTAGGTACACACACACACACACACACTCACACATGTATGTATATAATACTTCTTATACGTATAGAAGAGTAATTTATACCCGCACGATGATGTAACGCGACGATGCTAATTACCCGGCTGTATGTGTCCGTGTGCGTTTAGAACAATGCGCACACTTATCTCTCTCTAAGAACTGTACGCGCACATAATATTATATAGGTGTATAATACACGCTCCAGTACACATATTATGTGTGTGTGTGTGTGTGTGTGTGTGTGTGCATGCGTACAATATGCACGCACACGCGTTCGGCGGGTATCGCAGTCACTGGGACGGTTGTCCTACAGGTCGTATGCACACACACACACATAATATTATGTATAGTATAGGAACTTGTTAAAAAAATAAATGTAAGTACACACAACTGCACACATTATTATAATAAGCGAGCGGGGTGCAATGAAAAATATATAAACAAATAAATTCCGGTCCATTGTGAGGCGAGCGTGTGGTTGTTTTCTTCATTTATTTATTTATTATTACTATTTTTTTTTTGTAAGCGTTCTCAGTATTATTTTCCCATACGATAGGGCTCGAATGGTCATATTATATAATATGTGCACAACTTAGAGCAATAATATTATTCGCATAAGTAATGCGATTGATGAGTAACGCGACCTTTGGCCTTTGCATTGACTTGTTTCGTATTAACAATATTGGACACGATTAATATTATTTATGGCGATGATCAAAAAAAAAAACGAAAAATGTCCGATATTTCATTAAAACGTTAAACGATTGTTTCCTATTAATTCAACAGTTAAACAATCCGATGTTATTATATTACATTAATGGGTTATATGTGAGAGCAGTAGTCAGGGGCGTCATTTGGGGGGGGGAACTGGGGCATTTGCCCCAATCTAGTATTTATATCAACCTTAAGTCAGCAAATTTACCATACCCCCCACCCTTTACCACCATGACACAGTGCTATGAGAATCTGAGTGAAAAAAAAATGTTGAGTCGGAAAAGCAGGGAAAAGTTGCCCTAGTCTAATAAAAACTGAAATGACTCCACTGGCAGTAGTGGTGTTCACGTTTAATCATGTCGATAATCTTCAGTGCACCCCACTGCTAACACAATTAATAATTAACACAGCCACACAGGCATCGATGAAAATAATTTATAAATGCTGAATGGATTTGTTTAAAATTGAATTTGATATTATTTGTTATCTGGTTTAAACTTGAATCGGTACTATAGTCCAATAAGGTACCACCAGTTTATTACGTAATATGATACATTTTTGTTTGATTTCGATATAATATTATACCTTAAAAAAAAATAATATTCAATACGGATATAATATGAGAACTAATTACGACACGTCGAATAAATGAAGATTGTCGTAGTATTGTGTAATGTACACTAATTAATAATTGTATGTGCTTTACAACAGTCAACACTGCAGTAGTATAAAGCTTATATAGTACCTACCTATAAGGCTATACTAATTATATAGGTACCGATTCTTGTTTGCATCGTTTGTTATTTTAATAATGATTTACAATGGTTGGAGATAAAAAGTCATAAACGTAAAAACTAATTAAATATTACATTCCGTCTGATTTAGTTGTTACAATGTGAACAATGGTTCAAACAAATTGAATCTCAAATACACAACCGGTGCTCGTTTCATTCCCAGTTTAATTTTTCCATCCATAAACATAAAGTAAGGATTTTTTCACCTCGCATATATAATATACTTATACAACTAATATAATATTATACGAGTGGACAGAAATATAACGTTTCCTATGTCACGTTTAAGCAACTCTTGGCCATATAATTATTACGGAAAACATTCAATGAATATTGATGTTTGACAGTAATTGTTCAAAGAAAAAAAAAACTACCGAAACCAATGACGACGAAACGACCCGTGTGGCGTTGGCTAAACCAATAATGAAATAAACCGACAATATTATTGTGACTAATATTTCATATTTTAAAAAGGGGTGTAAGTTACTTTAACTGCGCAGTGTGCACTGTGAACACACAAATAGTTTAAATTCCGTAGAACCAATAAAAAAACTAGATCGTAAAACGTTCACTGGAAGTAAAAACCAAAGCCTTCTTAAAAAACAAAAGTATTTTAAATAACATTGTACATTCGTATTGATCGGTTAAAATAAATAAATATTGAACAAATATATTTATATTATATTCGATTAGGTAGTAACTTAAGAAAAAATGTAACAGTCATAAAACGTGGAAACAAATGTTGAGATTATGTGATAGCGAAACGTCATATCATTTTTGTTTTTAATATGCAACGATTTTCGAGGGTTGTTTTTAAGGTAAATCCGCGGATAATGTAACAGATACCTTACCTAGTACCTGCTGGCCGTATATTGTACCCGAGGAGAGGTATATGAACGATAATAATGATTCGTACATCGGGTACCTACTGCAGATTGGGTGTGGTGCACTGCTGTGGCGACTTGATCTTTTTTTCCTTGATTCGCATTTTTACACCACCCAATCCCTAAAAAATGTTTCACTGCTCCAAGTTATTTAATAATCATGGTTTAAATAACGTTTAAAAACTGTTCAGACTACCGTTTTCAACCATAGCTAGGACACGCACCCAATAATATTTTTATTGATCACGTGATTCAAAATATATAGGTACCAAGTTAACACGGAATGCGCGTTATTGAAGTGAAAAAACCCGGTATTCGGCGGTGTGGTGACTTTGACGATGGTCATCGTGGACGAAATAAATCACATTTCTCGAAATGACCGACCATTTATTACTATTCACAAAACCTAACAGGTACATTTCGGACCGAAAAGAGTACCCTCGGACGAAAATGGAGACCCCGTGTAGAGCGGAGTAGAGCCCCCGAGGTCTACCGCCCACGCAGAACACCACGGCGGCGAGTGTAAAGCAATGGTTTTTTTCGTTTTTTTTTTCCACCCGACTATTATTATATTATGATTATTATTATTATTACGATACGAGTATACAGGTACGCGTGTAATGTGTATGTATATGTTGTGAGGGTTTGGCCGGAACGAACAATAGGCGAGACCATCATCACACTGCAGGGCTGTGCCGCGCGGCGTCAGTTTGGGGGCATTGCGCTTCTTCCACACACAGACACACACACACTCAGACACGACATATTATATACATTTACAAACTCCAAGGTATACTCACACATACACACACACACAACCACACATACATACATCCAAACACTCGACTGACTTAAGCTCAAGCGTGGGGTGGAAGGAGGGGGTAACGTCCACCACACTCGCACGCGGGCCCGTGTCTTCAAGCGCAGTTAACCGTCGCACACGATCGTATAAACACACACGAGCACACTTCTGCCGGACCTCACCACTCACGGACGACGACCGTGTACAATATTACAATAATACTATATTTTATTGTATTGACCATAATATTTTCGACCAGCAACACTCGAAAATAATATAATATCATTATTGCAGCCGTTTCGACGGTATAGACACACACACACCCACCCACGCCACACTACAAAACCATCATGATCTTCACCGGCACAACGCGGGTCGCTTTGACCGTGGTCACAGTATTCGCATGGTTTGCGGCAGGTCAGTATATATTATTATTATATTACTATCGTTTACAATGTCGTAATGTTATTATGTTATCGCATATTCGATGTTCATATTTCGTTGTTGCATTTTGCGCGAATCCCCCCTCGGTGATAGATTCCGCAGCTACACTGTAGTTTTATTTTTGTAGCACGATACCATCGGTTGATATAGTATCGTGGGTACAATCTATATATAGACTTATTATAAGTGTGTATAAACCTATAATATTTTGTTAGTATGGGTATAAAATATATGCTCCAATAGTCTCACTAAGGGGGAATGATTTTTTCTAGCTTTCCTATGGCAGTAATTCTACTTTTACGACAATCGTTTAGAATGATTCGGTATTATATATATATATGTAGAGGGATGGGAATTTATGTAAGTCATAGATATAATAATATAATATTAAACCTGTAATATTTTGTTAGTATATGGGTAGTACAAAATATATGCTCCGATAGTCTCGCCAAGGGGGTATGGATTTTCTCTAGATTTCCCATGGCAGCAATTTTACTTTACGACAATCATTTATAATGTATTATTCAGTATTATATCTATGTTTATAGAGGGATGAGAGTTTATGTAAATCATAGATAATTTTATATTAGTCTTAAGTGTAAGTTTCCTCTAAATTAGTATAAATCTAGTATAAATACAAATTTGGTCGAACGCAATCAAGCTCAGTAGGGTTTATTAATTAGGTACTGTAATATTGTAACCAAGTAGGTACCTATAAGCTATAGTAACTGTTCTGATTACATTGATGAAGCTTTGGCTAAATATCCTTTTTGTGAATAACAAATGTTCAATCGGTATAAATAACTTTATTTTACTTATTATTGCTATTAGGTACTCTCCACTTTTGGGTTTAAGCTTGTTCTGAAGACTTTAATGGTGGGTATTTTTACGTCTTGTCCGTCGATTGCATTAAAAGTTTATTTTCGAGTTCATTATGTTTATTTTTTTATTATTAAAAATTAAATGTGTACAACAATAAAAAATATAAGTACCGTCTAGTATCTGCTTATAAAAATGTTTGTCTATAGTTTTTAGTATTTTATAGAGTATTGTTGGTAAACGGGTGCATTGTAAATACCACAAATGAGATATATAATTTAGTGTAAACTCTTGAATATTCTATTTCGTTTCGAACTACCAACGTTTTAAATATACCTACGCCATATATAACCTCGCTGAAGGTTATGTTACAAACTCAAAAATTTAACGCTACACCATAGAACTTCCTGTTTAGTGTTTACACGAAAATACGTGTATATATCTACATCTTCTTGAAAACGGAAGCCATATGAATACACGATAGTTTATACAGAGTGCACTAAAAGTATACTTGGTTTTTGAAATTTATATTCATAAACATCTCATCTCGATGTTTTAAAACAAAACCCTCGAGTGACGATTGTCAATGAATTCAGTTATAATATTTGTACAATCGTATGTTTTAATAAAAAAAAAATGTGTTTAAACACAGGATAGAATATTATAGTTGGTTAATTTTGAGCTCCCTTTGTATAATATACATACCGTCAGTTGTTATGCCGTTAGGGTCATTTTAACATCATTATGATGTATATTATGCAGAAACAAAAAAACCACATCCTATGTAGACATGTAATATATGACGACGGGGTATGAAGAAAAGTCAAAGGAGCGAATCGCGTGTGATGGGTGACTAATTTTTTGTTATTTTTATTATTATCTTAATGTATGTGCATGCCGTCGTTAAAAATTAATTCACATCCAGCAATAGTTATAACAATCATAATAACGTTTTAATTAAATAATAGCACCAGTTTCGTATAATTCATGTGTGGTGGAAAACGTTAGGTACCGGAGACAATGCTGCGATGGCTCGTGACCTTCGAAGAATATAACGTTTAGAACCATTACAATATTGTTTGTATCTATATAAGCCTCGACACAAAAGAATATCTTCAAAATGTTTATTATTTTTGAAAAGTTTGTAGGTGCCTATCCACATAAGAAAATAATAACGTTCCCAAATTATTTTAATGGTCTGTGCGTACAACAGTATTCAAAATATATGACGGGTTATAGAAATTAGAAATATAATAATATCAAGATCGTCTTCAATAGGGGTTACGTTTTTTTGAGACCATTACAACACCTTAATATTAACATGAATAAAAAGGTAATTAACCAAACCGGGTCTTAGTTTTAAAATAATTTGTATTCGATTATGAATACAATAGCCAAAAGGCTATTTTTTAGATAATCATTTTTCATCTCGTCCAGTGGTCTGTCATATTATTATAATCACGTATTTTTAAAAGAATACTCGTATATAGAAAAACAAATTAAAATATATAGTATGTGTAATGATTTAGTTTGGTCTGAATGAAATAATAAATGGTATACTGCACATTATAATGATACCTGTTGGGCAGGCTTTTTGAAATGTAATACTGTCACAGATATAATAATACAACTGTATTGTATTCATTATATTTTATTATTGTTAATGATACAAGTATGATATTGTATTTAAGACACCGTGGTCGAATTAAACAGCATAATATCCTTAGGGTACATGCAGTGGAATTCCATCCATCCTCTTATCGATTACATACATATATCTTGTTATTATCGCACAATTAAATAGCAAGTAATTATTTATTTATGAATATTTTATTTTGTTCAGTTTTTTTTTGTGACGTTATTAGTATTACGTCAAGTGATAAACAAAGTAGGTATTGAAAATTGAAACTTTTTACAATGTTGTAAGTGATATTTTGAATATTTGAATAACATATTAATAATATGTATCCATTCCCAGTTCATTCTCGACCGCGTTAATAATACCTTTGTTTCTTGTTTTTTTGTAAATAATATGAGTATATAATATGAGTTTTATCAACTGATCATTTAAAGGAGCACACAACACAAAAAATAAGTTTTTTTTATTTGAAAGAATGTTCAATTCTAAGGATAATGGTATAGGTTTTACGTTTCTACTCACATTATTCAATAAGTTATGAGCAATTGAAAAAAGACGTGTGACGTCACTGGGCCTCAGTCATCGTAATCGCCTATCTTATACGTGTAAAAGTTCCTCTCTTCACACAACGATTTATCAACCTAAACATTTTATTTTTGCAATTTAATTTACATGTAAATATGTGGTTTTATGTGTTTAAGACGATGCAAGTATCAGAATTGCAATACGATGTTTAGTTTTTTAAATATTAAAAATCTTAAAACAGACATTTTTGTTAAACGGCACGTCATGGCAAGCGGTGCGTGGCGTTCGAACAACGGGTCCGCCGACCGCCGCGCGCTGCTCGCCATGACGTGCCGTTTAACAAAAATGTCTGTTTTAAGATTTTTAATACTTAAAAAACTAAACGTCATATTGAAATTCTGATTCTTGCATCGTCTTAAACACATAAAACCACACATTTATACGTCAATTAAATTTTCAAAAGAAAATGTTTAGGTTGATAAATCGTTGTGTGAAGCAAGGAACTTTTACACGTATAAGATAGGCAATTACGATGACTCCGGCCCAGTGACGTCACGCGGCTATTCTACATCTCTTAATATCTCTTAAAGTAATATTTTTTTTTACATCGTATCTTCACAAAATCATTTCATATGACCATAACTACAATAATTTAACATTTAAAAAAAATTTAAAGAATATTTTTATTTGTGTTGTGTGCTCCTTTAACAATGTGCTGCAGTTACGTTTTTACCACTTAAAGTGACATGGGTTTGTAAAAGTGTATAATGTAAATACATACTCACATCAGCCTGTATTAATATGCTATTCAAATAATACAAATACATTCAATGAATAATTAATAACTTCTCCATAACATTATTATCTACTTATTAGTTATTAGTAATATTAACTACCTAATATAAAAAAATAATGTTTTGATTTCTCATAAAATACGTAACATTTTCAAATCAATGCAATTAATAATGACAATTTCGGGAATCTGTAAGGTAAATATTTTTAACTTAAAAATGATTAAAAGTTATGAGATTAACAAAAACCTTTGGCTGGTGTTACTGGTGTTAGTGAATGTACACAATAATATCATAATTTTATTGTTCAATATTTTGACTAATTTTTTTTTTTATATATTTCCGGGAATAAACACATTTCTCCAAATATAAAGTATTGCTCAAAATATAAATCAAATACATTACGCATACGTATATGTAATAATATATTTAAAAAAGATTTTATTTTCATATAATTTTTTTTAACTAATAGTTTTGTATTAAAGCTAATTATTTTTCAGCTTATTTTAAAGTTTTTTCTATACAAACATATAAAATAATATGAACAGTTAAAAAAATCATAAAACGTATAAGTTAAAAAATAAAATAGTTATTAAATTAACAACAAAGATAGGTATGACCATAAGACGTAACAATCTCTTCACATACTGACCATATTATATATATTTTTTTTACAATTCCAGCCTATAACCTATTAAATATTATTGGCGATTTGGATGTGGAGAATAATAGGGTTTGCCAATGCGAGTAATAAATTATTTTATGACAGGGACCGACAAACAGTCTGGTGAAGTGTTTTTATTTTGTAGATGTAAAAAAAAATTAATTTCTCTCCAACACCAAGCTGTGCGTAATACTTTTTGCGCGCTAGTCTGAAGAAGACAAAACGCGATTTGCCCTTCGGAAGGATTAATAGTCGGACATTGGCCAAGGACGTACTGGGACTATAAGCAATTACAGACAAAACAAATAAAAAATCACGATGAGCCATTAGTTAAAAACAAAACCACATCGGGTGTCGAAAATATGAGTTTTTGCGTTTTAATAATTTCATTGTAGTCTTATATATTTTTATATTATATAATTTCACGGTTGAATATTATAATTTATAGAAATTAAAAACCGAAATGATTTGGATGAAAACATTAAGGTCAGGGAAATTAAAAATAGACTTGGGTATAGTTATTTTTTAAAATTTCTCCAACCCCGAAAAATGAAAATATTATATTTCTATTAGGTATCTAATCAGACAATGAGATTAAATTAAATTAATTAGAGATGTATAAAATTCTATAAACATACGATATTGTATAATACATATATTATCTATAATTATATGACTTGAAATAACCTCACATTTTCTTAGACCCTTGGCACTGGATTAGTTGGTACCTAACAAATATTATACTTAACTATTGTAGATAGATACATATAAACGATATAATATAATATATTATATACAAACAATAATAATATATTAAAAATATTAAAATTGTATTTTATATCAAACTTTTTTTTTAGTGATTTATTTTATGTTTAGGTCAAAGGATTACAACAATACAGTTGGATGGCACTCAGTACTACATCAGCAGGATGAATCCATATTCAGCGGAATTAAACTACTTTTTGGCATATGAATATTGCAGATCAATTGGATTGCAATTGGCTTCATTTGAAACGTTGGAAAAAACAAATTCTATATCGGATTTCTTAAGAAATGCTGGTAAGAATGATTATTTTTACTAAAAGATTATTGAGAAACACTATAAATTGGGTCAGCATAATAGTAAATAACCAAGTTATTTAGTTAATGCTCTGTGTAAATAGATACCAGACTTCTGTAAGCAAATAACATATTATCTAACAGCGTTTCATCGACCAACAGTTATGTAAACATTCGATTCTATAAGACTGTAATACGAGGTTAATGGATTTTAAGCAGTAATAAATAATATCAAAAACAAAATGTACAAAATAAAATTATTGAAAATTATATGAAGAATAAATGGTTTTCTTTTATTTTAATTAATAACAATTAAAATGTATTTAATTCTAAATTAATAGATAATATGTAATTTACATTTATTGAGAATACGTTTGAAGGTTATCAGTTATGACTTTATGAGGAATTGAGATGGTTTGGAACTTGTTTGAGAAAACAATCGAATAATTTAAATTATTTATCTAGGCATTGAATTTGATTTACTAAACGAATGCGTTGGTATAGAAGGATAGAAGGATACCGACATTTTATAATGTAGGTAAAGCTTGTCTAGAGTATGAAATACCAAAACGTAAAATAATATATTCATTATCCATGCGTTATTCAAACCTATTTTACATGGTATATAATATGCATTTTTAAAGTTTTGCACTCATATGCATGATAATATTATCCACGTGTTATACAAAATACCATAAAAATATAAAACATGAATGGATTTTAATTTGGAGAAATTTATTTGTAAGAATATGTGACGTGTTGCAGTTTACAGTCGTGAAAATTAAATTAATAAACTACGAACGAGTAAAAAAATATTTTTACATTATAACGACAACGTAATATTGTCATAATGTACCTATAATATAAAACTAAACACACTGTATCGCACACCGTGGTTTAAACATGAATCATGTAAATGAAAATTCAATTTCTCTCGGTACCCACCCATGTCCCATAATATTCCGAATGAAACTCTATGGTAAACAAGAGACAATGACAATCGCGTGTGAAAAAACAAACGAACGACTGAATGAAACGTCAAAATATAGAAACCGTCCGGTGAATTGGTAAAAAATAAAATAAAGTCTTTTTCTCGTTATTGTTTTAAGGTTACAACAAATTCGACTATTGGACATCTGGAAACCGCTTGGGCACCGACATGCTCATCTGGATGTCTACAGGTCTGCCGTTCAACACGACTTTCAACCAAATGAAACGACCGAACAACCCGGACAACAATGGTCTGGACAACGAAGACTTGAAAATGAACGCCAGGCCGGAACTGCCCATAGCTAGGAAAAAGAGGTGCGATTTCGCGGGAATTTTGTATACTCATAAGCTTTTTATACCGGTTACCGGGTTACCTGCACCGCCGAGACGCCGGGATACCATACACGCGCGATCACACACAATTTATAATGACTACGACCTTTTTTATTTCAGGGGCGAGAGTGGTTCCAGGGACGGATGCGTCGCGATCAAAGCGCCCAACATGGACTGGGTGACGGCCGACTGTACTGACCTGAAGGACTTCATTTGCGAACAGACCAGGTGTTATTATTACAACTACGGGTCGATTCCGGTGTCCTCCAGCCAGGGGTAAGCTACAGGTGAGAATTATTAGACGAGACTTGGTCGAAATGTATTTCTAATATACGTGTATAAATCCTCAACAAATTCCGAAATCGATACCGCACCAATACAGACCTAGCTTTTCGTATTTTTCCCCTTTACTACCTAATAATAATATTAAGTACCTACGTTTTCTTAAACATGTGTCATGATGTGCGTAAATTGTATATATGTATTATATGTAGGTATATTACAGGAGGTACTACATGCAAATGTATTATTATATATTTTTATGTATAGGTACAGTGAATTCGTTTGTTGTTACCATTTTGAAAAATACGATTATTGAATTTTACGTTTTTCGTTTTATGAATTTAAGAATGACCTCAATACCATCTAGTGACAGGATTTTATACTCGTAAAAGTATATAACTTTAATTATAAAAGCTGTCATGAGATCCGGAAATATTATTTTTTCAAACAAATTTTGTTACTACGTTACTTTGTTTTTTCATAATAAAATATATTATATACGATAAGATGAATATGTTTTAGTTTGGTTTAGTATAATAGAAAAAAAATTTTTTGTAAGACGATTAATAAAATACTTTGATAACTTAAGAATTTAGTACCATTAAGGGCTAAGGTTCCATATAATATTTAAATTGATTTTTAATATGTTGTACCTATACATTATAATATATTATACAACACGTACATCGTAAATAAATAAATTTGTATAAACTTAGGAAAAAAACATAAAATGTAGAAAAATAGAAATTTAAGCACGTTGCTCTTTATTATCGCAAAGGAGAGGGCCATAATAATTATTTTTTTCAAATGATAAGGTACGACCAATTATTCCAAAATAAACATCGTAAACACTGGTAGTCTGTGTAGTAGATAATTGATTCAGAGGAACACGTATGAATTTCCAAACTAAAAGGCGACGATAACATAATATTTATAGTAGACTTTTGGTCCATCTAGTTTTTATTTAAAACTTCGAAATTTGTTTTAATATTTCAATTTATTTCAGATAAGGACCTCATATACTATTATAATATTCGTCGCCACTGATGTTCGATATTCGTTTTTTAATCCCGCTTTCTAGTCAGAATTTAACGTCACTAAAATTTTAGATGTAAAACCGCACAATTTCATGTACTCACAAAGTACCCACTACAATATTGTGTATTTTTTTTTCAGTTTTGGTTATAAACAAAAAGCTGCAGCAGTCCCAATTCACTCAAACATATCTTTGGAGGAAAACACTTCCACTCCGACAACTACTACTACCACCACTACTACCATAAATCCCACCACAACTACCACCATTGCATCCACAACATCCGAAATCACTACTACCACCACCAGCACCACCACGCCAGCTTCGCCCGCTGTTATGGTCCCGACCCCTGCCGCCGCCGTCGAGGGCTACGCGGCCACCGACATCCGCCGGAAGTCAGAGGACGACGACGGCAACGACGACGATGCTCCTAGGTCGGCGGAACCGGAACCCGTACTGACGGTCGCGACGACATCCGGTCCGGTGGTCGACGACTCGCTGTCCGCGAGCACGACCGAGCCCCTGCAAAGTGGATATCAAGAGTCGCAGACAGACGAACAACAGTCGACCGACGGACGAGCGGACAGTCAGTATTATACCACCGAACTTCCGACGCTCATTCAGATGCACAATCAACAACAGCACGAACAACAACAGCAAGACCAACAAGTGCACAGGCATTATCAACGTGACGAGGTGCAACAGCGCGGGAAACAGGAAGTAGATCGTCGAGATCAACTGCAGCAGCGCAACGACGCCTACGCTTTCGAATCGCTGGAAAAGGCTTTTGCCACCGCAGTGCCGCACAAGATCCGATCTACCAAGGACTTGGAACAGCCCAAAGACGCTGTAGCAGGAGCAGCTACCGGTGATCTACAGTTACCGTGGTCGTGGGCCAAAGACATAATGTTGCAAAAACCCGTGTTGAAAAAGTCGTCGCAAGAAGTCGCTTAGTTCCATAACAATCGGCGAATCTTACGTTTAGAATATTGTCATTATGTTTGTTTAAAAAAAACAATTTTTTTTTTTTTAAAAAAAACAGAAGAATTATTACGTATGATATCTGAAAATCAAAAATCAACCACAAACCTAAACTTCGTACAAACGTTGCTCTCTTCCGCGTTTCTCACTACACGTCATTATTATCCGAAGTGAATTATTACACTACGATATTATGCAATTTATTAATTTAGTCATGTATAATTATTAAAATCCGTTCTCATGGTTTAATTATGTGGAGTAATGGTGGTACATTTAAATATTTAATTTCATGTGATTACCACCTACCTATACATTTTTTTTATAATTTTATTTAGAATATAGTAATGAAAATAATGAACAAATCACATCGATATAATATAAAAGAAAATAATAAGTAGAAAGACTGATGAAATTTTTTTTTTATCTCGCTTTTACTTATTATATTCTTTTGCGTCTATCGATTATTATTTTATTTTGTATATATTAATTTTTATAGATTCTCTCTTAGACTAATGACTAATAAAATGTACTTTAATATTTAATGGTAATCATTTTGAATAAATCAAGTGATTGAAAACGAAAATATTTGTATTTTTGTATACACTTACCATCCGTTGATGACGCCTTCTATGTTGAGCATAGGCACAATCTTAAAAACGTAGGTGTCCCGTGCCTTTTTGGCTGTGAGTGTGCTTCCACAAAGGTAGTCGATCACACCGTCGATTACCCAAGACGAACTTGTCTCGCCGGGATGCACACGAGATGTCAAGTATATAATATGTCGATCCTGCAAATACAAGATAACGTACACTATGGGTAGTCATAATGTAATAATATAATATTATGGTCGTGGGACACACCGATATTACATCGACGAATTAACGAGATTTATGAACAATTAATTTTAAGAACACTACAAAAACATTGTTTGTGTTATCACTGCTTGTACAGATAAATAACGTACAAGCCGCATTATAGTGAAATAAATTCGAATTTATTTACATTTATATAACGTTTATTTCGCTTTGTCGTTGTTTTAATATCATAGATAATTCACTTATATTTAGCTAGGTCAAAATATTATACAGTACCCAAGCAATTAGAGCTTCGATTATAATTTTTAACCAGGATATTTTGAATTTTGAATTTCCTACATCAGTTCATCAGTTATATTATTATAGTTGTTGATTAGTTTATGTTTACATTTGCACTGATTTTGTATTAATAAGTAAGTTTATTTTTTTAAAAATGAAATTTTAAGAATTTTTAGAATATTAATTTTTTATGTATATTTTTGAATTTTCTACCCTGGTAATATTATAGATATTATTTGTATTTAAGTAAGTTTATTTATTTCATTAAAGAATTTTTTTTAATATTAAGAACTATACTCTCTAAACCCAACAATTTAGATTTGTGACAAGATTTCCTTATTTTAAAACGTGGCTGTAGTACCTACACACGTCGTCTATGAGAACTTCATATAAGACATAAGTACTGAAAAATTTTGACAGTATTGAATTAAATATTTTACCGGCAATGACGTAATGTCCACAAAGCACAAACTATGAAATACAATACTACTATAACTCTAAAATATATTGAAGCTATTTTGCATTGAACACATAACAGCACAAAAATAATTTTTAATTCGACGAAAGAAAACAAAAAAATCGAAATATGGCAGTATTGTATTTTGTTTTCCATATGATTATAGTTTGATAAATTAAAAATATGATAATATCATAAAGTATGATGACTATTTTGCTTCGAAAATTAATTGACAGTTGAAAAATTGAATATAGTGACCTATTATAAAAATATAAAATTACTTTAATTTTTTTTTCGTTGTTTTCGACAGATGTAATCGTGATAATTGGCACTTCGTTGTTATTCAATGATCGACACAAACAGTTTGCTCGGAATAATGTAGTAGCCGGATCGACTGAGTTTTTCCATCTGAAGCATTTGTACTGCAAAAAATAATATAAAAATCCGTGTTAAAAATTTAAATTTACGAGAGAGATTATAATGCCTATATACAATTATAAGGAAATTTATCTAATATTTGCCCTACTAATAAATATTATGGATATTAAAATATATATTATACATGATGACGATAATATACGCTAAATATTTCAGCTGGACGACCTTTAATTCGATTCGGGTTTTTTTTTACGACATATAGGACTTAATGTATTTAAAATTTTTAACCTGTTTTTCCGTGAATGTGCAATAAAACACATTTTTTTTACAAAGTTCTATGTAATTTCATGTGATTGTACAGGTTTATATGATTTTTACTACTCATCCCCGAGCACTCAATTTTTAAGGAGGGAAAAACTGTATATGTTGTCAAAAAAAAAACAATATAATTTTATTCGTACTTAAAAAGAGGGGGAGGGAAGCTTTTTCAAGTGAGATGTAAGACCGAGACAACAAACGAATGGCCAACGTCCTCTCAAGACGATTCCTTTAAAAGTATTTTTTATAAAAATGGGTAGGCACCTAGATACATATGGTTAAAATGGGTTGCTAGTTATACTTTATACCAGGGGTCGCCAACCAGTCGATCTTTCTAGAAATATAGGTCGATCGTTATAAAAATTAATTTTACCATTATCGTTATAGTCGGAATTTTTTTTTTCTTCATTTGAAAACAAAAGCCTCGGCGACTAAGGGCCATTGACTACAATAAATAGGTGGTCAGAATTATTGTCAGTTATAACTCGACTGTCAATTATTCGTCACGTGGAAGTGTGCAAAGCGTATATGTTCCGTACATTTTCGTTATTACGTTCCAAATTTATTTAAAATTTACAACAAATAAAATGACCTTTTTTTTTGCTCATAAAACAAATCTCTTCCTAAAGACCTAAATTCCCCTGGATGTCGATCACCTGGGACTAAAAATTTCAAATGTACCTCACTTGTTTGAAAAGGTTGGCGACCCCTGCTTTATACGGTCAATTGAACATATTTACCAACAACTTCGAATATGTTTACGGTTAATCGTATGCTATATATAACATTTTATGTCTCGGTTAGTGTGGGAATAGAATTGAAAAAGTAGCAGTCATGTAAGAGCACCGTGAGTCTTGTTGCAGTTCTTATAACAACTAGATCAATTGCTGATTTAAGGGGGGCAGATGAGCCTGCCTCCCCTCCATAGCGAATCAAATGTGTTAGAATATGGTATGACGTAAACTTATGAGTAATAAAAGAAGAATAACATTGTTTGCCCCCCCCCACCAAAAAAAAAAACTAATTCATAGATCCACCACCGATTCCCATAGTGACAAAATATGTATTCCTTTAAAAATAAAACTTAAAACTTATTCTCCAAACTTTTAAGGCGCTATTAATAATGGTAAATTAAATAATATTTTTAATTCATTGATGTATCTATCACTATCGATTCAATTAAAAATACTGTTAAAAAATGGGTACACCAAGGTACATGGTTATAATGGGTTGTTAGTTATATTTTATACGGTCAATCGAACGTATTTACCAACAACTTTGAATATGTATACGGATAAACGTATGCTATGTAACATATGTCTCTGTCGTGTGGAAATTGAATTGAAAAAGTAGCGGTCATGTAAGAGCCGTGAGACTTGTTGCAGTTCTTGTAACAATTCCGATAGTAACAAATGTCCATCCCGGTGCGTGTCCAGCCTTTCTTGAACTCGGCATAGTCCTTCACCGAAAACATGATCGGCTGCATGCCAGTTTTATACTGAGAGTTGTGTTTCTCCATGTTCACTATATTAAATACGTATGGCTTGGCCGCCTCCATATTGGATACCTGTGTGAGATAGAAAATATTATATATTATGGTAAAATTATCGGTCCATCGAAGAAATTATATTATACAGGTTTAAACCTAAAAACTGATACGATTAAACTAAAGCAATTTAAGTTGATTTTATTTGCATTCAAATAAATAAATACTCCGTATATAACTTGGCCACCGAATTAGTTCGAAATAATGAAATACAATAGAATTTTAACATCAATTAGATAATTCGATAAAGAAAAATCTTCGATGCCTATAGGTATACTTCGTTTTAACTGTATATGCATAAAATAATAGACTGCGCAGTAGCTGTCTGCAGTCCAACATGACTACGCGTGTGAAAAATGTCATAAATCAATAAAATGAAAATAATATTATTGACTATTGTATTCCATTAAAAGAAAAAAATGTAAAAACGACACTTACAAATTATTCTTGTAATTTTTAAGGTAATATGTAAATTTAAATAATATTTTTAATTCATTAAAAAAGTACCTAAAATATTTAAAATTAAACGGGTGCAGTTGATAGTTATACTTTAAGAGATTTTTTTAACAAACTATAATCTATAGGTATCACTAAAATTAACCGTTTCATATATAAACTACGTGGCGGCTTAAACAAACAATTTTGTATGGTCGTTTATTTTATGAAAGAAAATATAGAAGTTGTTAGTAAGATAATATGAATGACATGCAAGGCATGCATCATTTTAATTAAATACATTTACATTTTAAAGTTCAATATAACTTATGAAGTGTTATATATTTAAAAATTAAGAAAAAAGTATTTTTGATTCACTAAAATTCACATTAAAAAAAAAAAAAAAAAACCAATCGGTAATATTCTTAATTATGTCGGACTTGCGAAGTAAAACAGAAAGTTTATTTGGAACTGAAAATTAATATCGCGAACTCAATAGAGTACTTATAATAAATATAATTTTAAAGATGGTTAATAATATTACAAAATCAATAAGGCATTGGTTACGTTTATAGCGCATACAAATTGGAATAATTATTAAAATATATTTAAATGTATAATCGTACTTGAAAGTAAAACCATTGGCTATGTGACATTGAATTTACGTCAGAATTCAAAATCAAATCATACTCGTTGGGACCAATCTAAATAAAACATAGATTATTAAAGTATATAAGTACAAAGTCTCGAAATTTGCTCGAATAAGATTACTCACCTTGATAGCTTTCCGAAGATTTCCACATTCGAAACGAGACTCAAAGTGTAAGTGATCGAACCCCGATTTTGCGCCTAAATTTCGCTCATCGTAATTTGATAATCTAACAAACATTGTTTTAAATTATACAATATTCAAAGACGAACGAATCGATTTGTTAATAATTACTGCTGTTGAGAAATGCAAGCGTCTTGAACACTTTCCAATAAATAATCTAAATCGTACACGATCATATCGCCAGAGTCTCGTCGTTTGGACACGCTACGCTCTAAGCACGATAACAATTTGTTGCTAATAAAATTACAATTTATAACATAAATTAATAATTAAAAGTAAATATTTAAATATAGTTAGAGGTTTATTACTTATTAGGTAGGTACTCTTTGAGATATTATATTAGTGTTTTGTATAAAATACACATTATTTTCACATTTTTAAAAATGTAATGATTTGTCCTTGGAAATTAAATCGCAACCTATCACAGAATTTACTATATTCATATTTTATAAAAAAGAAAAACATACTCGAGTAGGACGTAGGTAAGCAATAATTTTGTATTCGTTAAATAATGAGTACTTATTTAATATGTAAGCGAAAAACGTTGATTTATCACTATAGAAAAGAAAAATAATCCTTATTTATTTTTTTAATTATATTATTATACTTATATGCATTTTTATAAGCGTTTTTATTGAATTTAGGAAAAGCGATAATAAAATATATAAAATAATAATATACTGATTATGGTAAACATTTAGCCAATGGCAACAATTTAAAACTACTTACCTACTATTAATGATAAATATTTCTGCTTATATGAGTATAATAATTTTATTATAAAATATAAACTAGTGACCTTCAAAACAAATAAATAAATAATAGTAATAAAAGATTATTTTTTTTTATTATTATTCAGAAGAAGTTGGTACTTAATAAGTAATAATTATAGGTACCTACTGCTAGAGATTAACACACGTCATTTAAAATTAAAAATCAGATTTAATGTTAAATGATTTTGACATAATAGAAACCTGATGCAAATTAAACACTCCCATCTTCTAGTTTGTCATCATTTTGTAAAATAATTTAAACGTTTTGGTAAAAATAAAAAAGTAGTAAAAAATTATTGCAGATATGAGTAGGTATTAATTTTAGATAGATACCTAACAACCAGAGTAGGTATAGTATACTGACGTAGTGACGTATATATTACATATATTTTTTAACGACAATGAACAAAATCATCTTTACCGGGAAACGTGTACGTCACTATTGTACAAGGACTCCATCGGTTGCTCGTCGTTATTGAACCCTATCCAATCAGGATAGGCGACTTTAACGAAGGGAGAGACGCTGTTGACACGTTTTGCTATGCTTAAATACGCCGCCTTATGTGTTTGACACGTCCGCAAGTTGGCTATCAATCCAATATCGTTTTTCTGATAAATTAAAATAAATCGTTAATTTTATATATTTTTTTTTAGCATGCCTACTCGCTGTCTAAAAAAATCAACGGTTATTGCAAAAACTCGATAGTAACACAATATTATTATGACCACACAAAATATACGTCCAATTAAGAGACTTAAACTATACGACGACCAAAAATAACTTACGTCCGTATTCAAATGATGGTCGGTTAATATTGATGTGTTGTTTCTACTGAAATAAAAAACTTAAAATTACAATACATTTCATAATATTTATTTGAAGTCGAAATACTGTTTTCAGGGAATGTTTATAAGAACGTTATTAATAAGGCCGACAATTGTATATTCTATACCAACCTATTAAATATGTATGCAGCTATTCCTAAAAATTACTAAAATATTACCCTTTATTTTATTATAATTATTTAAAGAAAAAAAGTATATAAATTCTAATATTTTATTTTAAACTAAATGATTATTCAAATTTTATATTATATTATACTGTAAATGATTTAAATTACTGATAAAAAAGAGTGTGGTATTTCAGTATTTAAATGTATCTTCATCTGAAAACCAAACAAAAATGTTTGATTTACAGCCTGCTTATTCTGATATTCATACATTTTTAATAATTATTTCGTGATTCTCGATTCATTGAGTTTAAAATATCTTAAAAATGTATAAAATCCTAAAACTGCACAAAATATTAAAAATGCAATATTATGATAAATAAAATGTTGTATATTATAGAATCGTTGGGTTATGAGACAAATTGTATACAAATTTGCTATTTTTTTTTACCAACCAATGAAAATATGAAAATGCATACAAATGTCAACCATGGTTGAAGACGGGGAAGACTTATTTAGCTGGTACCTACTCCATGGCGATGGTAAACAAAATGGTAATAATATGAAAAATGTGTTGTCCATGTAGAGACGAGGTAATATATTATAATTTCAGGCAAAGGTGGTATTTGGTACTCGAAGTTTGCGGGTGGTGGTGCTTAGTGATTTTCACATTACATGACAAAATATATAATAATATTATATCAATAATAGTAGGTACGAACCAATTCACCCAACTTACACCACTGAACGTTATAAATAATGTTGGCTTTTTTTTTGACCATACGTAAATACTTTTTTTCATTTAAGTTGTAACTATATTATAAACCTACCAATGGATATAACCCACCAATAAAAAAAAATCATAAATACATCAGTGACTCAAACTCCAGTGGACCGTTAATAATCTCTACCATGATTATCATGTTCACTGTACAATTCACTTACTTTGAATATTTATTCGACTTGAGTTTGTTGGCTGAATTATGTTTTGGCGTTTCGTTGTTGAATTCTACAAATAAACGTCCATACCTGTACAATTTAAACAAATTTACTATATAAAATGAAAGAACTAAATTTTTTTTTTTTTAATTGACAGTAAATAATAATAATTTATTTTTATAATTCTAATATAATAATAAAGATATACTATTATAGATTACAACTATAATAATAATTATTATTATTGTTGTCTACAAATTATTCAAACGGCGCATCGAGTATGCAATTTAGGTACATTATATAATAGTGGTAACGATTTTAGACGTGTTTTTAAAATACACGTGTACACGAAGTTCGTGTATTTTAAATACACGTGTAATTGATTCGTGTATTTTAAATACACGTGTAATTGATTCGTGTATTTTAAATACACGTGTAATTGATTCGTGTATTTTAAATACACGTGTAATTGGTTCGTGTAATTAATATTCCATGAATAAAAATTATATTTATTAAAAAATATTACGCTTCATAATTTATTAGTATTTATAACTATTTATTCAGTACTAACAATAATAATAACATTTGAAACAATATTAATACTAATAATAATAATTTAACAAAAAATGAATACAGGAAAACAACAAAAAGTACCTATTTAGTACCTAAAAAAATATTTAATTATAATCCAGTTAATATTAAATAATAATAAATAAATAATTTTAATATATCATACTTTAATAGATAGCTTTAATTTTAAATCATCAGCTGTTTATTCTGATGCAAAAATACAAGTAAATTTACATTTTCTGGTGATAAGGAAGCTCTTTTTCGGGTGACTATATTACCAGCAGTTGAAAAACAACGTTCAGCACTCACTGATGTTGCAGTAATTGCCATATACTTTTTAGCAAGTTTACCTATTGTCGGATATTTTGAATATCGTGTTTTCCACCACTCTAAGGGATCTAATGTAAATCTCAACTGCGGTTCTGCTAAATAGTTTTGAAATTCTTTTGTTAGATCATTTTCTTCATTGTTGATTCCAAATATATATTCAAGATCACTTCTATGTTTATTTTGTTGTTCTTGAGAAGCTGTAGTTATTTCATTGGGCTCGAGATAATTATTTTGGTTGATTATTTGTTTTATTTTAGAGCGGATTGCCTCATGATTAGATAATACTTCGTGGTCTAAGTCTTTAAATCTAGGATCCAAGAATGAAGCAATTTGTTCTAATAATACAGATTCAGTTGAATCCCATTCAAGCGAAAAGCGGCGTTTAATTTCTGAAGCTAATGTTTGTTTCAATGTTTGTACAATGGTATCTTCATTTTCATGACATTGCATTAAATGTTTTTCAATAATTTGTTTTAATAATGGTCTAATCATTGATATTGACGAATTATTTTCCGTACAAAAAATGTTTGTAGTGACATATATCGGTTTAAGAAATTGTATAAGCGACTCGATAAATAACCATTCATGTTCTTTAATTTCGAGTTTTTGAGCCATAGATTGAGATGTTATAGTTCGATCTGCTAAAACATTGAATATTGCACATCTATTCAAAACGAGACGTTCCATCATAAGGTATATAGAATTCCACCTTGTCTTACAACTCTGAAGTAAAGTTGTTTTTGTTAAGCCAAGTAATTCTTGTTTTTCTTCAAGTGATGTTTTAGCTAATGTTGAATGTTTAAAATGCCCTACAATTTTATTGCATTGTTTTATTATATTAACTATATTTTCATTTTTTAAGACACAATTAACGGCAAGTTGTAGACTATGTGCTGCACATTTAACACTATAAATTTCGGGATTTATCAAAGGAATGGCATTAGTTATATTTTTCGCATTATCAGTTACTATTGCTAATATTTTGTTAGTAATATCCCATTTGCCAAAAGTATTTATAAGTTGTTCTGATAAATTTTCTGCAGTATGACGCTTATCCATTTCGTGTGTAGTCAATGTATATGATTTAGCACACCAATTAGAATCAATTACGTGAGCGGTCACTGTAATATACGATTCCTGTGAAATCGAGGTCCAACAGTCGGTTGTGCAACATATACTAGAAGCATCTTGCAAGTCGTTTTTTATAAGTTCTTCAATATTTGAAGATAATATTTTTAATCTAGTTTTAATTGCTTCTTCTTTGCATGGCTTGTAGTTTGGTTCTACTACAGACATGAAATCATGAAAACCATTACTTGAGCAAAATGACAATGGCAACTGATTTACAGCTATCATTTTAGCTAATGCTTTGTTAATTAATTCACACCTGTCTTTCGAACAAGAACGTGCATTATTGCCATTGTTTGTGTTTTGATAATGTATATTTGTTCGTCTCTTTCTCTTTCTTGATCTTCCATTTTTTTCAAGGTTTATTTCTTTATTTGTCTCATCAATATCCATAACTTCGTCACTGTCGTTTTCCGGTTGCTGTTCATCGTGTGTCCTTGGTCTAATAATAAATATTTAAAAAAAATTCGGTTTATAGTTTATTTAACTTATTTATTATACTTATATTTTTATTTACTACTAAGAAAAGTTTTGCACTGATTTTTTATATTTTAGATTCTAAGTGAAGCGAAATGTATTAAGTTAAATTTAAGTTTTTCGTATGTAGGGACACAATTATTAATAACAGAAAAGATTTGAGTATACAAAATTGAAACGTTACTACCAAAGTTATGTATAATCTGCTTTAAATTTAAACATTTTAAACCAATTATAGTATATAATGTATATTACTTACTGTTCTTTATTAATCACAGCATTAACCATTAAGCCGTGAATAGTAGTTAAATGTCTTCCCAATGAGCCGGTGGTACCTCCGGGACAAGAAAACTCGTTATTATCATCTTCATCGCATAAATTGCAGTACGCTTTATTTTCAATACGTTTAGCATACTGCCAAACCCAACTTTTTCCACGCATTGACATTTTAGTATTTTACCAATGTACAATATAACAGACATGTATCCGTGGATCGTGCAAACGAACAACAAGTAGAATAAATTTGTATAATCCGAAAAAGCAATACAATTTAATTTAATTTGAACGCGGCACGTGGTACCGATTTAACTTTATCTTATCGAAAACTCGATAAACGTGTAGTCAATAATGCACTTGAATATAATATACGAGTATAATAGTATGTAGTATATAATGTGTTATATACTACATAAATGTTGGTAAAAATATTATTTATAACTTTATAAAGGTACATATTTTATATATTATTCGATACCTAAAAACTCGGACGTTTATAGACTCCGCCGAAAAGGTCTTTTTATCTGTAATTTTGTATTTTTAATTGTATTCTTATAAAAATATATAAACCTTTATTTATGACATATTTATTATTTACACGTGTACTTAAATAACACGAACTTGTACACGTGTAATAAATAATAATACACGTGTATTAAAAATACACGTATAATTTTAGTTACACGAACTAATACACGTATATCAAAACTACACGAACTACACGTGTAATTTCATACACGTGTAATAGGGACCACTATTATATAATAAATTATACATTTTAAAACATGGAATTATTACTCCATCACATCTAATATTTTGTATATAATTATAAATAATTATTACGAGTGATATATATTACGTTCTTACGTTGATATGAGGTCGTCACGATCTTTCCAATAGTTAAAAGGTATTTCGAATTTCACTGATTCGGGTTTTCGGATGATTAAGGGATCCATCAAATTTTGGACTACAGCTATTTCAATGTCATCTATATCACTGTCGTCACTGTCACAGCCTGCATATTTATCTGAATCTAAATTTCCAAATACATTTTTACAGGATGAGTAAAAAAAATGTATATTGAATAACATAAAATTATGTTGTCAACAACAACTATTTAGTTCTACATCATTTCAAATTTCAAATTAATTAAATTTTGTTAGTGATCATATTAATCGCCAAACTATAAATAATTATATGTATAATTATGAATACTTCTTATGCAGAAAACGATAATAGATCATAATTTATTAAAACTAATTAAGATTTATTTATGAGGGTTTTTTTATACGTTCTACGGATATTGAAAAAATAGTTTATTATTATTGTTTTTTTTTTCTTATTTGGTCTTTACACTATAGACACTGTTTTGATACATAATTAGTTAGGGTTTTTTTTATTCAAAGACTTAGTTCAAACGAATGTATGTCTAAAAAAATTGATAGGTGCACAAACATTTAAGCACATCAATTTCTACAAGTTCCCAACATATTAAAATGTTTGTCTTCTTGTTAAATTTTGTTATTTATCTCAAAAGTTAAAACACAAACCGTTAAGTGACAATAATAATTAAGTCGTTTTTTTTTGTCAGCTTTAAAGGTTTATGTGGTATAGAAAATATAGCAAGCGTTTATGAAATAAAATTGTTGCCAAATCTTTACTTAGTGTGTTGAAAATACCTCTAAAATAAATTGAATAATAGACAATGTTTAACTAATCACATTTTATCTATACATCACTACTAGAAATAAATTTAGTTTAGTAAATTGCTTAGTGTTATGTTCATTATATTATATACTTTTTTTTATATCTATCCTTGAAGTAAATAAGTCTACGTGAAATTAATAAACAAACAAAACAAACTTACCACTATCGTTGAGGTTTATATCTCCTAAACCAAATTCAAGTGCCGATTGTGTTGATCTTAAAGGTAAGAGTAATAATTTCTCTTGGCATACATTAATAACTGTACACAATTTTGACATAGTTGAATTATACACCTGGTCTTCCGGGCAGCGAACACTAAATTGGTACAACACATTAAATTTGTTAGACTTTCTCAGTGCTGTCCGTCCATTATCTACAAACCCATTGACAAAATAAAATTATAAACCATCGTTTGATAAATAAGTTGAAACTTGTAAAGCATTAAACGTACTAGTGTTGGAGATGTGAACGAGTACATCTAATGCGGATGAAAATATTTTAGGATGAGCTTTATTGGCAGTGTAAAGTTTTATATTGAACACGTCCAAGGCGTATTGCATGAGTCCAGCACGTATAACTCTATCGCAGTTCTCTTCAGAAACTAAAAACGGATTCAATAAAATAACTTATAAAAAAATGTTACTCAATAATAATTCTAAATTTAAAACACACACTCAAAATTAATATTAATACCTTTTTTTGTAATGTTTGCTAAAATTACAAGAGTCACATACTGTTTGTTTTTAATTAAATACTTATTGTTTTCCCTTATAAGTTTTTCTAAGGTTAACAAAAAACTATCCCTGAGAAGCACGCCAACGATGGTTTCTAAAAATCCAATGTAAATAAATTATTAATTTCAATAATTCAAAAATAATAAGCGTACCGTTTTTCGTAATGGTTTTAAAGCACTTCAATAATGGAGAGATAAATTTAACATTTTTAATGTTGTTTTTTAAATTTTGATGAAACATTTTTGTTGCATTCAACATTTCGGCATGTTTTGAAAATTTGCTATCTTAAAACAAATTACATTTTAAGTAGATATAAATTGTAACTTTATTTTTTTTTAAATTACCTTTTTGTGAGAGTTGTCCAAGAATAAACACTAATTCGTTGAGAAGTACATCAGGCGATCCTACAGACTTTGATTGCAAATCCATTATTGACTTAATAAATATTTTTGTTGCTTCTATTTCTACCAGTTGTTTCAAAAATGATTTTCTAGTTTGACCTGTACACATTTCATTACATTATACATTTTTTGTGCAACTCTATTAAATGTATTCTTAGTCACTAAGTGTTTACCGGATTTTGGTGCAATGCAAGCATGTATTACAGCTGCTAAATTCGTACATGTAGATTTATCTCTAGTTTTCTGGAATATTAAATTAAGTAATAAATAAAATAACAATATAATTTTAAAAAATAGCATATTTCAGTATCAATACTTCAAAAATGTATAAAACAATATATAATATGTTGTATTTACGATCTATAGAGAGACTATGCTAACTTATTCCATTAACATGTTTTATTAAAAAAATATCTAAATTAAAAATTACTTTCCTTAAAATATCGATTTTCTATTGTCCACTCTCTGTTAATTTCCGATCACACAAAGTTAGCAACTAAACTACTAATCTATAAACGTTTCGTCAAACAAATTTGGACGTACGATATCTAAGTAAGGGGCCATTAAAAAAATTCCAAACACCAATCGTATTCAACTTTTTCAATCTAAAACTCTTCGAGCTATTACCATAAGGCTAAATTGTTTTGTATTAAACTATAAATCATTGCTCAATGATCTTGCCACCTATCTAGTCATTAATGTAGCTACAGCAAATTAAAAAGTTTAAGTATGAAATGTCAAAAATCACATAAATCCTCTAATTATAGAACTCCAACGAATATACGAGGTAATTAGAAAAAAAGAACAAAAAGGTGGAGGAGTCATAACCTGATAACTTAATAGTAGGTACATTAGAACTTATTTTTATACAAGGTGATTTTTTATCATTGAACACTCATTATTTCAAAAAGTATTAATGTTTAAGAAAATATTTTTTTACATAGTTTCAAGTTGTTAAAAAACAATATTTTTATTAAAAAATTATATTTTTAAATATTTTTATCCTTTTAATTTTTTAAGTTTTTTACTTTTTGAATGACAACATGTAATTTTAATTTGATATTCAAAAACAGAATATTTTCTGATTATTTTAATACATAAAAATTGAATTTAGGGCAAGTAATTTATGAGTTATAAGTATTTAAAGTTTAGATGAGCGGAGTAGAGTGGAACGGGGTTACCCCGCGAAATGTTTGTCCAAATATCAAATAGCTATTCTACAGTAATTATACTCATGTAGAAATTCATCCAATAATAAAATTAAAAACTTTCTCACTACCTATCTGAAATAAATTCAGATTCTGAATAGATACTCTTTTAAATATAAAATAACTGAAACCCTGATAGCAAAAATGGTTTCTCCTAAGTATTAATTATGAGAAATATGGTTTTTTCTAATTTTAGAAATTATTAGACTTCTTTTGGTATTAGACACCCGGAATTCATTCCTATAAAATACTAAAAAGAATTATAAATATAATATAATATAATATAGACTATAGTATATAGAATATAATATAATATTGACTGAATTAAATATATTTTTTTTTTTTAACTGAACTGTAAAAATGTAAAACACGATTATTGAGCAATTTCTTATCAGAGTTATAATAATTGATTAAGAACAATAAAACTAATGCATTTAATACATATTAATCTTGTAATATTATTTGAATTTTTCAAACAAAATATCTAAAATTTGACATTTTTCCAAATGCTATAACTCAGATTCAAGTTTTAACCCACTGGAGTAGAGCCAAAGCTTACTAGTCAAAGAAAACCAATTGAATCTTATGGTTATTATTTATACATGTTTTTCGTCACAGAAAAACTATTAATTATGAAGTCTGAACTGTTAAAAAATTACATAAGACATTATAATGCTTAGATACATGGGACGTATCTACTTAAACTGATAATATACCAGTTTGGTATTAAATTAATCGGAACATTTCTTGTTGGTAATTTTTTATCAAGCTAGGTATTAGGTATTAATAATAACAAAAATAATTAATAAAACTAAATTATTAGTTATTATTTAGGTACTTTATGAATTATTACTAACGAATTATATAATAAATTTAACTATAGATTTATTTTCCATAAACATTTTTTTTCGTTTGAAGTGACGCAAATGATAAATACCAAATGTATAATTATATTACAAGATGCCAAAAACACTCGTTACCCTATATTATTTCACTAGAAGTTCATTAAAAATAGAAACAGTGTAACCGTAGTCTGTAGATACAATTTCCTGATTTTGTTGCTCAGCCCTAAGCTATAATACAGAAACTTTTCATTTTTGGTATAGTTTACGCATGCATAAGGTCATTTGTCGTTATGTTTCAAAAATGATTGGTCGATATTTTGGTTATGGTTATTGTATCGTGTGAATTGTGAAATATATTACCGTCATTGATAAAACAACAAAAAATATAGAACCTATATCATTTAATGTTATTTATTTATTATATAATTTCATTTCTAGACTTATAGATACTATGTAGTATGTACCACGTAAGTACCTACCTACCTAGTAATAGTAATATCTTGTCCAAACGCTCTCGTCTATATTCTATCCGAGTTGAATTCCTATCATCTTGTCATGCACACCTAGTGTAATTGTTACACGTTTTTTCCAGTTCAATAAAACAGTCATCATAGAGTGATAGTTGGGTGGTGATAATATTAATATTAGTAGTACATTTGTTTACTAAATGTCATCCTGCACAGTGCACACGGTATACTGTAATTCGCATCGTACTTGATGTAAACATCACATGTAACAGGTTTACTTAACGTCAACGTCTTAACGTACATATTGTCTTATATATACATTATACATATAATATATATATTATATTACATTTATATATCATGATATGCGTGTGTGTGTGAGTGTTAAATTAACCTATACACGCACAAATTATATGCGTCTCCGTGTACGAACATGACGTGATGCAGTCCCATTACGGGCGTTATTGATTCTCAAAACCAAATGTAATTTTGTTCATTAAGAACGGTGAAACATTTTCTTCAACCTATAACTGAATGCCGTCAAAAGGCCCATTTGGCCACTGACACGAAAATCGATTCCTATATAATATATAATAATATACATCATACCTACCTACCTAACCCGTATACAGAACGCACATCAAATTGAATAAAACGCGAACAGCGCGAGTTGTATAACTATTGTAGGATTTACGAGTAAATATATAACCCTGGTATAATATTATTATATCGGTATAGATGGTAAAACGAAATTAAATCAACCCTATAGTATTATTATAGGTATGTTCGATAGTTTACGATGTTTAATTAAACCAGCCAGCCGGTTTATAATAATTAAACTGTGTAGTAACTCGCGATTAAAATAATTGTCCTTAAAGAATAAGTTAACAAGTCGGCTTTTCCTTGATAAGTTTTTTAATTTATATTTTAAACTCGGTGAAACAAGACTACACGAATAATTATTTTTTATCTAATATTAACTCGATAATAAATTAGGCATCACATAGGTACAATACAAATATACGACTATAAATAAATCAAGCAAATGAAATGTCAAATGTGTGTCAAAATGTAAACAATCATACTTAGGTACATTTAAAATAAGTGTTCACGCGATTTCAGTAATATTATATACGTGGGTAGAAGCTATGTTAATTTATATTTAACTGATATTTAAGATTTCCAACGAATAATTACATTTATAGGATTTCATGTATGTCTTAAACAACATTATATTAGTAGGTAACTAAAAATAGTGTTGATATTAAAATAAATAACTTGGGTATAGTATATTTTGTTATTTTTGAACACATGGTTCATATTTATTGCATGACGTATAAGGTGCATGAGACAGAAATTAAAATAATACAAATATATTGACTATGGAGTCCAAAGCTCTTATAATAAATTATTTCCCGAAAAGATTATTTTGGAATAGTGAAAAAAAACTGAACAAGTTTCGTTTAACAACTCTATAAGGTGTAAATTGAACACGAAATTCAATCACTATTTCTATTATTTTCAAGTATATAAGTGCCTACTAAGACACTCGCTCCAGTACACCTCGTCCTATATCATTGGTACCTACTACCTATATCAAACTATAGTCATTATATTAAATTAAATACGGAGAGGTACTTTAACTAAATATATTATACCCATTATATATCTTATTATAATGTAAATTCCAAAACTTTTTGAAATGTTTCATGAATCATTATAGTATATTATATTTTTGTACTGATACCGCAAATCCACAAAAACAGGGTACGCTCTATAACTCAGTTACATACTTATATTTTTTCGGTACCCTATACAAATTTTTTATACTATAAACTATATCTTATTCCACTAAAGTCAGTGGATAATTAATTTCTATGACTTACAATTTTTTAACTCTTGTAATTTGCATGTGCAATCCGACGGTTTTACACTATACGTATACCTAACGGGACTAGATAGTCGGAGCTGATAATTATATTATGTAAAACCGCAAAATATTCCGACGAACAAACAGAAAACATATCAAAATGTTTGTTTGTTTTCATAATTGTATATGCGTAATATTATTATCAACATTAATATAGAACACCCTTAACCTTTGCATGCTGAAAATAACGCAGACCGTGCTAAATCGAACGACAGTTAATTTATAATGCAACTGTTTAAAAGTACATGCGAAATATATGACCGAGACGCGTGCCAGGCAATATAGTTTTTTTTTCCGCAAGCTTTATACGCACGTACTTTTATAACGCGACCGTCAAAAATCCGAAACGTTATCAAAATAGAACATAATATTTGTCTCTCTTTATTATTATTATAATTATTTTTGCCACCCCGGGTGAAAAAAAACTCGAAAGGTCTTTGCACCACCGCGGCGTATATTTTGTCTTCTGCTAAATTGTCCATTTTTTATGATTCTTTTTCGTGCCCAGCCAATCACCCAGTAATTTACCGTACGAAAAACGTTTTAAATCTGGCCAAGGCTGTTCCGTTTTGGCGGATTCAGTGAGATTTCCTGTGCGATGTCTGTTCCGCGCAATATGTAACGACAGCGGACGGCGATATAATATATAAGTACGTTTAATTTTAATGGTATACGTCCTTCTGCCTATATCGCCGCAGAGACACCACTAAAAATACAAAGTTATTATTTACTTGCATCGTCGTCCACTCACTTCCTCACCTCTCGAAGCTCGGGAGTTGCAAAACACGCGCACGTTACAATAATGGTCACCGCACCGAAAAGCCTCGGGCCATCGGACACGGACGCGCGAGCGAGCGTTTGTGTGGTCCCGAGCCAATAGCCGTGTCATTTAATTAGCGCGTTAAAAAAAAAAATTAAAATAAAAAAATGTATCCGATGAACAAACGTTCTTTTTTTTTTTGCTCTGTCTGTATATGTATACATATATATATAACCTGCACCGGAAAAACTGACGTTTATCGTAATGGCAGAAGTTGGCAAACTGTAAATAATAATTATACAGTATAATAATATATTAACGGGACGGAAACGAAATCCCTCACTACGTCACAGCATTATATTATTATGTTTTTCGAACAGTGCAACGTCCCGTACCAAATAGACATCTAACGTGATTCACGACGGTGGTTCTAAAACTTTGGTAGGTACGCGTACCACTGGTGGTACGCAGTGTGCTACACGGTGGTACGCTATTGGCCGTGTACAGGCAGAAGTACGGTAAATTCAAAATTTATGTTTTAAAATTGTGTCTGTAACGCATCTATAATATTGTCATTTGTTTTGTGTAAATAGGTATACCTACTAAACATATTATACCATTAAATGTATCTAAATTATTACTTTTATATGCGCCATGATTGTTGTTAAAATGTGCTACAGATTTGAATAGTCTTAATTTTAGTCATCAATGGTACACTATGCGTCTATGCCCCGATGAGAAGTACACACGAGTGTTATAGGCGAGGTTATAGGTATGTAAAAAAATAGTTTATAATAAACTATTATAATAGTTTAGAATATTTGATCTAAGCGGTATTGGCGGTGTATGTACAATTACTTATACTTGTACACTTACTCCGCACCTCTGCACCACTCCAGTTGTAATCTATTAACGTTAATATTGATTTTACTATTAGTCTGATACGTTATTTTTAATGATTTTTTTCTGAAAGCTCGATAAATTATGTTAAAAACGAAAATCATCACTTGAAAACCTAAACATAATGTGTTAAACACTCAAACGATATGTTAAATTGCGTACAACAATTTCTTTTAAAATTAATTGTGTTTTGATAAAAATTATCCCGGGTATAATATATATGATATATCGTCGGCCTAATTCGCAAAGGTCGTGTGTCCAAAATTACAAATTGTTCAGGAGAAGAAAAAAACGTTTTACGGCCATATTATTAATTTGAGATACGACGAATTCTAATTATCAATTTCATGGAGGATAATATTATGAAATCAGAAATTTGATTGTATCAACAGACGCAGTTTTTTTTTCTTTATTTTATGAGTAAATAATCCCAAAATGTCAAAAAATGGAGATACGACTTTTGCGAATTAGGCCGACGATATGATATATTATTTAAATATTTTTAACAATATAATATTATTATTATAGTTATACTTTAATTGTGTTTATACGATGTACAAGGTACAACATTATTACAATACTATACTAACATAATGAATTTATGGAATACATTTAGCATGGTTAGATAAATGTTAAACTCAAAGCTTAAAAATATATAAAAATATCGTTGTTTTCACATAACTCGAGTAGTTAATTTGAACAGAAGTTAATAATAAAGAATCATGATGTACAATGTACAATATACATAATAATTAATAACTGAATCAAAAATAAATATATTTTGGTACCTAACTAGTAAATAACGTTTCAAATTAATGTTGTACTATCATTATTTTTTTTTTTTTGCTTTACCTCTTTACAGACTAAATTGTATAAATTAATTAAAAAATCTACCTGAAATGATTAAGTTTTAAGTATTACAATTTTCTTTTATTTACCGTATAATTGCCTTTTGGGATAAAATTATAAAAACATTTCAAGTGTAAAATTAATTAATTAAATTTTCTTTTAGAAAATTGCAACAATTTTATTTTTTAGAAAAGCTATTGAATGTCGTCTCATTGTTTCAATGCAGATAATAGGACAATCCATTAATTTACAATGTATACTTCCTACACATTTATTGTCAACATGTTAAACTTACTTACTAACTATTTTAACACTAAAATACTAAAGAAAAATGTGTTTTAGTTTTAAAAATATAGATTATTGAAATTAGATTTTAAAGAAACAATAAAAATAAATATTTCAAAAATTTAATGCACAAATAAAGTTTTTATTTTTCAATTTCCATTGCGCTGCATTTTTTATTTTAAATGTTATGTTCCTATTTAGAAATAATAATAGCCTTATATAGTTGTTATGTTATCTCCTAGAAGGCTGGATGTGATTAGTGTGAATATATTAAATGTCACAATAATACAGTCATAAAGAAAACGGTTTTATAGTAAAACTAAGTCATTTAAAATGACAACAAATGTTTATTTTTAAAATAAAACATTTAATTGGTCATTTACCATCATTATACTGACACTTCAGAAATATAATTTATCATTCTGTTGGTAAAAAATATACAGGAAGAGTAATTTGTAAAATCCATAGCTTCGTGATTCATTGACAAAATATTACATTCACATACTTCATCAAGAATTTAACTACATTACACTCACAACAAAATGTGATTTTTGTCAAGATGATATATTCGAGAAGTTACTACTAAATTTAAGTAGATGTATTAATGTTTACGTATTTTCATGTACTTAAAAATTAAAACTAATTAAACACTTAATTTCCCAAACAAAGAAATTTGTGTGCCAAGTATTAATACTGAAAGACTGCTATTGGATAATTTTCAAAAAATAGAAAATAGTTTTTTTCTAATAAAATTTTATATTATTACACAATGTACTGGTAAATATAAAATATAAATACATTTTATGGATTTTTATCATTTACAAAATTCAAATAAAATAGTACATAAAATAATGTCCAAACAATTATTAAAACTTAAATACTTCAAACCAAAAAAAAAAATGAGTTATATTTTTTATTTTTTTCATAAATCAATATTAATACTTACTTCAAATAATTTCACGATATCCACCATTCGCTCTGATTTAGTTTTTCGAAGAATATTCAATGATTTAGCTTTGACATTTTTATCTAAAATGAAAAACGTATTTATTCTTTAAGGCCGAAATCATCGTAGTTAAATGTACTATATAAAAAATGGAAATTTATAGAAAAGTAAAATAAATTAAAGGGCACCAACAAGTATAGTTTTATTTCCTACATCTCATTATAAATATAGTTTTACATTTTATTTTTTTATTGTAGCTAAAAATCAATAATAATGTAGGATGGATGTAAGATGTAACAATAGTATGATAGATTAACAAAATAATTTAAGTTATAACTTATGATAAATTCAGGAGTTATATTATTTTACAATTTATAACGATACTTGCTGATCCCGCGCACTTCGTAGCCCGTAAAAATGAAAACTCTTAAAAAGTTGTGATTGTTCAACTCCTTTTGGACGTAATTCTCTGCTGTAAGTACAATTCAGCCACCCTGGCAATGTGCGAAAATTCGATTTTATGCATAATTGTACCTGATTTTCCCGATTAACTAATGACAACCAATTTCCAAATACTTATTTTTACTAATTATTTCTTCTATAACCAATAACAACCATTTTCTTCGTAAATCTAAAAAACCTTGTTTTAACACCTCCCCGGGTGGGACTTACCGGGTCCAATTACAAATCTAAATCATCCAGGGAACCACTCAAACACACACAAACAGACAACAGTTTCATCAAAATAGGTCTAGCCGTTTGGAAATGCATAAAGTTTATATATATAGATTATAGTATTATAATTTGTACAAATTGTTTGGTTGTATTTTTAATGATTATTACTTGTGCGGCAATAGTAACTAATAATGTATTGTCAATACAAGTTTCAATCATGAATTTAATGAAACAATAATTTAGAATATTTGGGAAATATTTTATATTTTTGAAAATCAAAGTTTATCATAAATTACAAGTTGAAGTAATTTCATCAAAAATAAAAATTACTCATTAATAACTAAACCTTTGAAATTTGGCAATTAAAACCAGTTGCAAGATCCAATTATTATTATTATTATTATTATTTTGAATGGATACTAATTCGACCGTTTAATTCACTCAGAATCCTGAACAGTGATTTACTCATCTACCCACATGGAAAACCTATACTACAGAGCAAAAGCGAGTTCTCGGGTTACTTTAAACTAAATTACACATTGGTGTATCAAAATAAATGTAGTGTAAAAATTATAAATGTATATTTTATTTTTTTATAATTATAAATTTGTTAGTATTTTTTTTTTTTAGAAGGCAAATATAAACGTTTAATCTTAATCAAATGTTATCTTCCGAGTAAACGTGTACACTTTTAAACATAATATGATATATTGGTAACAATTTATTTTTTTATTTTTGCAGTCATTCAAAAGTAATTGTTAAGAAGTGGTTAACAGATAATCAAAAAGTATATTAAATTTGTTCTTATCACACCAAGAAAGTTAGGTAAATAGATATAAATTTAAAATGATACCCCACAAGTGCAAATAATATAGAATCCTATATATTATCTAAATAATTTTACTGATTTAAATTGGTAAATAATAATCAATGTGTATAGGTTATAGGTAGAAGGTAAGTATATTGTGGGACTGTAGGTACCCACGACACATATGTTACGATTTATAAAACAATTATTTTTACATTAAGTTCGTTAAACTTTTGGACCACGTTGTTCATTATGATATAGTATTCACATTTAACGACGATAACACTTACCCGAATAATTATAACAAATTATATTGTATTATTATGTATAGTGTATACATATATATTATATACGTCTTGTACTGTTTACATGGGCCGTGGTTATAGACTATAGCGGTGGACGGTGGCCAAAGGTGCAGGCATTTAACATTTCAATTCATAAAATAATATACCGATCAAAAATCAATCGTGGGGTGGGGGTAAAATGATGATGGATGGAAAACTTAGGGTTTGCCAAAAGTGCGTCCACTCGTTTCGAAAGGTTCAAACGGTCGAGTCGGAATCAGGACTTGCATCGTGCATATTAATAATATTTTATTATGGTGCACCGGGTATACGTGTGCGATACTAAGCGAGAGTGATAAAAGGAAAAAACGTTTACCGGAATTGTTGACCCGGCCGTTGATCTTGTGCGCTATTCTCCGTATCTTTTCCAGGTTTTCGGTGGTGTGGGATGTAAGAGGCGCCAGCCGGTCTAGTAGCACGTCCAACACGTGATCGTCGCCGGAGATGACCATGATCTTGGGGTTCTATTCGGTGCACGCCGAAAAGAAAAACAAATCTCATAAACAATATATGTCTATATTATATTATATAGTAATGCTGATGCAGTATGGACGAATCGACAACGATCTAATGTCGTATCGTTTCGGGCACGACCGACGTCGGGATGCAGACGGCGGTGTCGGGACGGAAACGAAATATAGTCGGTGGGTGAGTGAATGGGTGGGTGTGAGGAAAATTCGGGGGACCGATATCGCCGATATGTGGAAAAGGGCTACGGACGAAACGTTTTAACGTCGCGGGATCGTTTTTGAAGAGTCGAACGCGAAAATCGTGAATGGCACGGGCGCAGACGACGGTGACGACGACAGACGCGACACGACGGTTTGGCAAACGGCACGACCGATTCGGCCAGACTGCCAAAATAACGAGGCAGCGCTTGTTCGTAGGTATATAGGTACCATATATACGATGTCGTTGCGCGCGCGCGCACCCGCGTGTATACAGGGTGATAAACGCCACACACGATGCTTGTTCCCATTTCATCCTTTGATACGATAGTAAAAAACCTATGCTGCCACTCGTCCGAATTCTGATACTTCCAGTTTTTACTTGGGTACACCTCAGTTCTTAGATTTTTTTTTTGATGACGCTACCGAGATGAGGAGTGATGTCCCACTGCAGGTGGGTCTTTGGTGATTTCATTTTTTTCTCCAAACGAGAACCGCACGTTTTTTACTGTGATTGTCGATCAGACGATTTTTATGCAGGGCGGTTTAATAATATCGTGTCTTTATCGACAGTTTAATCCGAATTTAAATTTTAAAGTATACCTACCCAGGATTCATACAATTTATATTATAAATAGGCAAAACTGCGCCTGACCGTACTTTTATCTAATACTCCGTTTGTGAAAATCTTCGAGACAAAACGGGGGGTGAGCACGGTGGTTGGTGAATCACCCTGTATAATATGATCGTATTATTACATTGTGTACGCTTTACCCGTGACGCTCACGACGAGTCACGTGTGCTTCACAGGGTCTGCTGCGACTCCCGTCGGCGGTCGTGCATAATAATAATAATAATAATAATAATAATGACGATGATAATAATATTGTTATTATTACGCGATTACAATATATCTACGACTAAGATAATAATATAATACCCGACTGACCAGACCGGGGCCAAGTCCGTCCGGATGGATTCATCGCCGAGCGGCTGCAGCTATAAATCGACGACTGCAGCAGCGACGATGACGGACGTTGGTCGGATTTTTTTCGTTATTATTATTATTATTACTATCACCATTACTATTATTACTATATTGTTGTCGTTGTGCTGGTTTGTTTTTTGTTTTTTTTTTCACATTTACAAATTGTTCACAGCTGCAGTCAATAATACAACTGCCGCTCGTCAACACGTACGCGTACATAATAATATTATTAGAAGCTCTAAGTCTAAGTTTTTATCGACCGGCGCCGACACCCGCGGTCGTAATAACGTTTTAGAAAATTAATTCAGCGTGTGAATTCGCACTCTTACACTATAGCAATGTTTAGTTTTTATTTTTTACTCCCACAACAACAAAAACAATGTTTACACGACGCGGTGAATCAGCATTTCCCAAACAATTATATTATCGATAGATTAGAACAACATGTACGATTTAAAAATAAAAACATTATAAAAGCGATAAAGCTATCTCAAACGTTTCCGATCAAAGTGAAATAAAGTATATCATTAGATGTATGTTAGTTGTTTATTGTGTGGAATCATTTAGGCTTCAGTTTAATAATATTATTATATATTATAATATGGTTTCAGCAGAAAAAATATAATAATATATATACACCATGTACACCATGTGTTCGTGAAAACAGCTAAAGTATAGAAAAAGTTAAGCTGTTGCGCATGCGCAAAATACAAGAGTTAAACAATATCATAAGTTATAGGAGTATATTATGATCTAACAGTTTAGTCTGATGTCCCTCACACATAATTCAAAAATATGAAAAGGTTACTGAGTAATATAAGTAACTAAGTCATAACGTACCCAGGGCCGGATAGAAATCTCGAAGGGCCGCTAACATTTTGGGCAACGCCGCATTACGATTTTTATGACAGCTATATAATAATATACTGTCAACAATTAATGTGATAAGGTTATTCTTATTACCTATATATTATTATTAAAATGTATCCAATATAGGAAACTATAGCAAATTATGGGCTTGTGGAAAAATATTTCTCGAAGGGCCGAGACTACCCAATCCAGCTCCGAGTGTACTCTATATTTGGGGACAGGTGGTATATTATATATTTATGCATTTAAATGTGTTTTGATACGATATATTATAGACTTTTTGATTAATAACTCATTCGATGCAGGTATTTATATTATATTATGGATTATGTGGTTATACTACATTATAATACACCACCTACCTACGTTAACTTTTGACAAAATACAATTAATACATTAACATAATTAAGTATTTTATAAATTAAGTAAAACAGTTTTAATATTCCTTTTATAAAATAGTCAATTGCATATTCAAAGAAGTAGGTATACCGTATACATAAACTTAATATCGTACAAGTATTAATCTGATTTGGCCACATGATGAACTTTTTCTGGCCGTCATATTAACTTAACACATTTTAGCATACTTATATCATATTAGATTTTGTGTTTGTATAAAATACGAATAGACACAAAACTAAAAATAAGAGTATAAATGTCGTAAAAATTATAACATTTTATAGTACTCGAATCGTTCCGTTTTTTTCAGTCTTCAACAGCGTAACAAATCTTGGGACGAAATAAAGTTAAACACTAGATATATATATATAAAACACTGTACATAAAAATATCTTTGTAAAACAAAAGTCACATTAAATTTTAATCTCACTACTCTACGTTATATAATATGTACATTTTGTTTGTTATGAAATTTGAATTCGTGTTCAAGGAAAATTTATCTTATAATACAATATAATATGTTAAATGTACATAATGACTAATAATAATAATAAAGAATAACTGACCATACAATATATAAATTAATAATAACGATAACATTAAGATAAAAATGGTTGTTTTATGTATTTTAATTTTTCAAACCAAAAATGATTAATTATATTTTACAGTAGGTACTTATTGTCTATGCGAGCATTTGAAAATTTGATTTTTTTATTAATTACTATTTAAAATTCATAATTAAAATACTAAGTTAGGTACGTTTTAAAGTCACGGCAAAAATCCGATTAAAGTATCCGTATTAATAGGTAATATATTATGTAAATTTTGGTGTATCTAATTCAAAATTCAAACGAGTAATTGATAAGTTCCTTAGTTATTAAAATGTTGATACCGAAGATAATGGTCCTTAAAATGGTTTTAGACATATATAAAATTAATATACCTAAACCTAATACTGGATCTTAGTATTCTAGTGTTTATTACACTTGAAAAATGTTTACAAATTATAAATGTTGATAGAATAATATTACCTAATTACTTAAGTTTTTAAATTACCATAACCCCATATCTAGTATACCTACACATTATTATTGACCTATAGTTATCCTTAGTATAACTATACCTACACAAAATACAAGTTATATAACTCAAATCCTACTCAGTTAAATTTTAGTTTTGATACTTGAACGTTTTCAGAAATATTATCCTCTAAATAATTTACACATGAAAAACAGAAGTTTGTATCTACTCTACTTAAAGTAGGACAAAAAAATTTCTAAAAATCGAAATTTGGTCTTTATGTTATTAAATTATTTGAATATTCAAAAATTTTGAAATTTTGAATAACTTTATTATTGAAGAAAAAAATGGAAGTGCAAGCTTGGTGAATCACTCTGTATGTATATAAAAAAAAATAATGCTTTACTTTATTGTTAAAAACCACCCTTATTATTCAACTAAACAAAACAATAAACATATACCTAATACGATTAAGAATCATTATGCATTTATATAATACCTATGCATCATACATAATTTAATAACTACTAAGAGTTAAGACACTAAAACACAAATATGAAACTAATGATATTTCTGAATTTCATAATCTACAAAACTCTACAGTAGTTTTAAGTATAATAATTGATAGCACTGGAATCTAAAACCTTATCATCGAGAAATTGACGGATACAATATCTGTCTTTAATAATATTTAGGTTTTATACTAATGGCTTAAATTGAGGAATACACTGTTATGTTTTTGAATTAATATAATTTTAAAAAAAATGTTACACTGGCTCAAATATATAAATATTATATATATTGGAAACAGTCTCATTCAAAATATTGATCATGAGTTTGTCAAAAAAAAAACAACAACAATGAAGTAAATTATACAACGATTAAAACTAAATACTAAGGTATTAATTTTGTCACTCACTTCTTTAGATTTAATCGGCTGTTGGAATTTCTCCAGCTTTGCGACCAACCTATTACATGACGCTGCAGCTGTTGTAGTTAAACGAAATTTTTTGTATTTTACCGTCACTCTTGGCTGCTCGTTAACTCGTTTATTGGTTGTCAATTTTTTCTTGTTCGTCCTTCCTATGGTTTTCTTCTTGTTGGCCATGACGTAAATTCCACCCCTTATTTCTGTACTTAGAACACCATTAATTTACTAATAACGTATAGATATTAAAATACTATAAATTACTTAACAATAGGCTTGTAAACAACGTGCCTAGTTACTATGGTTGAAAAAAATATTGTGAAAAAAAATACTCGTCTGTATAATATAGTTCTTGCATGATCCCCATCAAACATAAGACTATAATGACGACGCGTTTCCATGGTGAACCAACTTATGGAACCCTTTCACACGAATGCACGGTGCAGCACAGTGTTGTGAGTATATTTCGATTTATTCAACACTTGGCACGATTAACAAAGGTACCGATGTACAAATATAATATAATCTACTTCGATTGTTTTTTTACAATTTAGAAATTAGATGGTAAATTCGTTGGAAAGGCGTAAGTCTTAAATGTTCAGTCACCGTCGTATTTAATTATTGTCTATTCAGTTAGATGAACTAATATTATATAAATGTCATTGAAATACTATGTTAATATACTGTTGTGATAACATAGTATTAAATTCACATACCTACAAAATGTATACAATTTCGATTTCATTAAACAAAAACAAAAACTATCTTTTAGTAACTGCAAGTGGTTATTGCGGATGAAGATAAAAATGTGTAAGAAACATCGATTTGATGTAAAACAAAAATATGAATATACCATGATATAGCACATTAGCACTTACAAGTTACAACTAAACTATTTATTATAGCTCATATACTGAATGTACTATAAACAACCTAATTTTAAAATTCTGTATATTTGTACTAAAATAATACATTTTTATACACTTTTCTTAAGTTCGGTTTCACGTTCGTCTGTGATCAAATCTTGCGCGCTCGATTTGAGGCACTTTTTGAAGATGAAAAATTCTGAAAATTGGTATAGACCTTGGTTTTTGATGACAATACAATAATCCGTAAAAAAAATTTTTTAACTAAAAAGTAGAAAATAAAAAATAAAAAATTTTTTTTTAAAAACACACTTTTCTAAAAAAACAAAAAAATAATGAAAAATTTAAAAGTGTGTGGCGCTCTTACACTTGACATATTATACCACACACTTTTAAATTTTTCATTATTTTTTTGTTTTTTTAGAAAAGTGTGTTTTTAAAAAAAAAATTTTTTTATTTTTATTTCTGACAAATTATTGACAACAATTTAAGCATTAATTGGAGATCAAGAAATGTTATTCAGTTTATTAAGTTAGCTGTGTTATACTAGATATTCATTTGAGCCCACACATTCTCATTTAGGTAATATACTAATATAATAACAATAAATACTTATTGATAATATTAAGTACAGTGCATATGCCTCGATATTAAAATTATAGCTACCTATGCAAATCAATTGTTTTGCTTTTTCTTTGTTTTTCTCTGTTTATTTATTCACGGAATAGAAACTCCATTTACGGCAGTACTATTTAAATTAATATCAACGTAATACAATTATTGTTAAGTAATAATTACCCATTATATATAATATTGTAAAGTATGGAGTACCATACGGTCATTAAAAAATATATTCAGTTTTAATATCATTAACTTTATAGTTAAATATATCGATATCCATAGAGTTGATCCAAAGACATCCAGTTGACTTTATTATAATGAACTAGTGAATGCAGTGTACAACAATTATGATAGTTTAAAATTATAAGTGTCTTTAATTCCTTATTTTTTTTTTGTTAATTTTAAGGTTAAGTTTTCCTTATATTTTTGAATAATATTTTATTATTTATTAATTTATGTAAAATGGAGCGGTCTGATTATTTTTTTCAATTTTTTTATGAGGACGTTTTGAAAAATGTTAAAATTTCATTACAACAATGGAGATCTGACTCTTTGGAATCTACACGTGTAAGACAGCAAAAAAAAAGGAGTTGGTTCTATTTTGAATTCAATATATAAAACGGTTGTCCTAAATATCGTATAATGTTTTGTATGTTTCGTATTTAATTCTATAATAAAAGAAGAAATATTAGTCCAAGGACACGGTGAATGCGTGTTTATGATGTGCAGTACCAGTATCGAACTTGTATTCTATCTCATACGAATAATTTTATGTTTGATTGCGAACGTAAATAATTTGAAAAGTATGTACATAGTCAGTCATGCGAAATATATGATATTGATGCGGTATACATTTATTTAAGTCCTCAAATGAAATATATCGGCAGAGAAAACCGTTCACAAATATACGTACCTAATATTCTACGCTTGTATATAATATTCATATATTAATAAACTTTTTTCACGTGCACTCTATTTTGACGAATTCGTAAACATTTAAAAGCCCCGTCGAGCCCCTCATACACTGGCTCAAAAAAAAAACAAGTAAGACCGCCAAAAATCCCTACTTGACTTATGAGTGGGGTGATGGTAACTTGCGAATAATTCGAGGAAAAGGAAAATAAACCAGTTTAACAGTAACTAGGTATATACTATATAGCATACAATAATTGGAAATGAGTCATGGTTTCAGGATGGCAAAGTGCTCCGACGTTCATAAAACCGGTGTATACTACAGTATTTTCTCAAGCCAAGGATAAAATGGCGTACGATGTGTAGTGTGTACCTAATTTAACAATAAATTTCTTTGCGTTGAACGGAGCCGAAAAAAATTCGTTTATACATGAAAACCGGATTTTAATGAAACTTATAATAACGCTAATGCAATACAACATTTTTCAGATCTCGTGAAAACGAAGACGACTTAGCAGTTGTCCTTACATAATATTAATGCATCGCGTAAAATCTTGAAACAACGAGATTACGAAATAGTGATTGAATATAATAATATTACACTTTTTTTTCGATGAAAAATAAATATTTTCGATGTATAGGTACCTATTTAAATCATGACCTTAACTTTTAGTTTAATGTGTGCCTATTACATTTTATGCGTTCTGCAGTTATTGATGCTGCAATAGTGCAATTATTCCCTAATAAGCTAATATTTTATGTATAATCATTTATCAGTAATTTGGTTAAATTGCCAATTAATATCAAGTATTAGTAGTACACTAGTCCCTACTAACTTTGATGATATGATTTAAATAACACTAAACATGATAACATATTTTATAGTGTAATGGTATAATGGTTCAAAAAAATTAAAATTAAAATTAAAAATACTCAAATATTAAAATTTGGATTATCTTAGTACCTAGGTACACTAAATTAATTATGTACGTAGGCACGCAATCCATAAATCGAATCTCACCCAAAAAATTAATAATAATGTAATAATATTATACATCGACAGATTTAACATATTTTGCTATTGGTACTTACATATTATTTTAATTCGTGTTTTCAAATTAATACCTAAGATATTATTCAATCATAACCTATTACCTTGTTATAGTGGTATGTGTGAGTTGAGTTGCATATATTGTTGCGCCTTATCAATAGACATCTGACATAATGTAGATTAAAAATAAATTACAGCTTGGACAATACTGAAGTAGTGAAGTGAGTATATTATGCATTTATTGTAAACCATTTCTCTGAGTTAAATCTAAAAGAAAATTAAGATGAGGTCAACAAAAATAATGAATAGCCAACAATCGTTACCTCCGTATGGGTAATTATTTACTGTAGATTTAATTACATATTATTTCGTAATACAACTCGATGACACTAATAAGTGAGTTTACAACTGCATTAATAAACGATCAAAACAATTTTTGATGCTATGCAGTTGCATAGTAATTATCGTATGTAGCGTAACCTACACTCAATATTCATGTCGACACAAATTAAAGTAACTCAAATTCACACATTCAGCTGTAGGCAAGTATAATCGAGTTCGTGAAAGCACCGACCAAAGATATTTTTACTCAGAAATAAAATAATAGGTACCTGCCCTATCTATAGAGTTAAGTCAACCCCAACGACAATAATAAATATAACTTAGCTTAGTGACTTTAAGACACTTGATTATAGTGACACACTACTTCATTGATGATGGTAGACTATAATTTTATTAATATATACCAACTCTTTATGCTATCGTATTTTTAAATTTTCGCCAAGCCAAGTTTAACTATTAGCGGACTATTTTAATATAAATCATATATATATATAGTTATTATATTCAATATTTCAATGATATCATAATACCAAAGATATTTTTAAGCAGAAATAGTAATATCTAGACTCTAGAGTAAAGTCAACCCCCGAAGATAATAATAAATTCATCTGTGCACCACTGTAGGCACAACGCCTTTTACCATTACACAAACCTTTACTAGTCACGAGGTTGTGCCTATGATAATACAGTGATTTTTGTACATTAGTTTTCCGTCGGTTCGGTAATATCCTTCGGTAAGTTATTATTTCACAATATTTTGTCTGTCATTTAATTGTATAGTGTTGTGTGGCTAAATACCCGCACCGCCATTATTATATTATACTTAATAAAATAATAAGTACCTATTACTATATTATATGGGTACCTAAAAGCGAACGATGTGCTCTGTGCACCGTTGCTACGCGCTAGTATTGCGGCATGCTCAGCTTTTTTTTAAAGAAGGGGGGAAGAGATATGAATTTTCGACTGTTCTCAGACCCCGTCGTATAGTGGTAAATATAATATTATGTACTTTCATTGCTTTATCATATATTTTATATGTCAAAAATAATCCAAAAGGGGAGTTGATATGACACCCTTATACCCCCGTGAGAAGGCCCCTGCGCACTAGTAATATAATATAGTTCCTACTGCATTGAGTAGTTATAATAAGTAGTTGAGTATTTAATTCTATTAATATTATACATCTTTATACTTTTGGTTTAATTTTATTTTCTGTAATGGTAATTAGTTGTCAAACTACAGAAAAAAAAAACTACTGTTGAGTAAAAAATCTTTCCGAATTGTAATGACTGTTATAATTTCTATAGACTGAACACTGAAACTAAACAGTCATAATTATATTGCTAGTTCAATATTTAAGTCCACACGAAATGTCACGAATTAAA